TCAACACACTAAGCCTCAGCATTTGAATTGTGATTGAACTCAATCAAGCAAAGCTATCTTCAGTAGGGAATTTCTCCTGTAAAGAGCATGAGCACTTTGATTTTACCTGTCCTCAAACTGACCCTTTGCTCATTATAATAGCAAAAACACACCCCTATTTTATTGCATTTTAGGTTTTGGGGTACATGTTGTATAGACAACAATCTTGCATGTTCTTCACATGTACCCCAAAACCTAAAATGCAATAAAATATATATTTATAAAAATAAATAACTAATATTAAAGGAGAACAGTGAATATTCTTTAAAACCTAAATTTAGCGTTATCTTCCTTTCTTCTTTTTGTTGTATTTTTTCACCATAAATACGATTTCTCATTTCAACATCATCCCACCATTGTCTATTCCAAGCTGTTTATTCATTAATGAGAGTGACAGTTTTCTGTGTGAATATGCACATCAAAAGAGTTTTCTATACAAGTGTTTGCTCATGAAGCACTAACATTTTTTTTTTTTTTTTTTTTTTGAGACGGAGTTTCGCTCTTGTTACCCAGGCTGGAGTGCAATGGCACGATCTCGGCTCACCGTAACTTCCGCCTCCTGGGTTCAGGCAATTCTCCTGCCTCAGCCTCCTGAGTAGCTGGGATTACAGGCACGTGCCACCATACCCAGCTAATTCTTTTGTATTTTTAGTAGAGACGGGGTTTCACCATGTTGACCAGGATGTTCTCGATCTCTTGACCTCGTGATCCACCCGCCTCGGCCTCCCAAAGTGCTGGGATAGCACTAACATTTTTATTTGGTCTTTCAATTTATGAAGAAAACATAAGGAATGCCCACTTCTTTACCTGGGTGAAATATTAGTCTCTAAGTCCTGGGCACCCCCAAATCAATCAGAGCAAAGAAAATATGGCATGTCTACCATCTACTGCACAGAGGCTTTCACTTTCATCACACTATAAAACAGTGTTTCTCTTTGTGGATGGATTTCTTCCCAGATTCACATGAAAGGCTTGTTAAAGAAGTATATTCCCAAAACCCATCCACATTCAGAATCTTTGGGGCTAGATCTCCAAGAATCTTTATTTTTTAAGTAACCTCACAGATGATTCTTTGCCATCTTGGAGTTTATGAACCACAGGTTAAATTCTTGTCTTTTAAGATTGCAAAGAGAAGCAGAGACCCCTAGAGAAGTGCATAAATGTGCACTAAACAAACCAAGAGGGTTGATGAAGTCTGTTCGTCTCTCCCTTCTCAAAGTATCCTTGCTTGTTTGTAACCTGCCCTCAATACTTTATTTTGAAAATGTTCAAACATACTGAAATGTTGAAATAATTGTACCGTGGACACCCATATACTTCACCTAGATATCACCATTAATATGTTACTGCAGTTGCTTTATCACAAATGTTTTTTGTTTTTTGGTTTTTTTTTGAGACGAAGTCTTGCTCTGTTGCCCAGGCTGGAGTGCAGTGGCACGATCTTGGCTCACTGCAGTCTTCACCTACCAGGTTCAAGCGATTCTCCTGCCTCAGCCTCTGAGTAGCTGGGATTACAGGTGCACACCACCACACCTGGATAATTTATGTATTTTTAGTAGAGATGGGGTTTTACCTTGTTGGTCAGGCTGGTCTTGAACTCCTGACTTTAGGTGATCCATCCACCTCAGCCTCCCAAAGTGCTGGGATTACAGCCATGAGCAACCACGCCCAGCCTATCTCAAATCTTTTATTCATCTCTCTAATCATCAACTCAATCTTAATTTTGGATGAATTTCAAAGGAAATTTTAGACATCAGTGTGTTCAATTTAGGATGATAGTGACTTGAAGAATAATGAGGCAATGAATCTTTGTAGCCCTGGTGAAAATACAGTGGCCTTCTTTTGTTGGACAGAATTGGTGGCATCTTGGCCTCAGGAGGACATTCAGAATGCATGTAATCAAAGACAGAAGGATAGTTCTGGCTGGTTGTAGGTGGCCCTGGAAAGGCAGTACGTATCTACTTGTCTCTGTTCATTTGAATGGGAGCTTTTGTTTGTTACTGAAAGAAGAAAGGGAGGTTTGGGGTCATGGAGAAGATATGATAAATGTGGCAGCTGACGGCAGGAGAAACCCCTTCTCTCTTCCATGGGTTTTTCTTTTTTTTTGAGACAGTCTCGCTCTGTCACCAGGCTGGAGTACAGTGGTGCAAACTCAGCTCACTGCAACCTCCATTTCCCAGTTTCAAGCAATTCTCCTGCCTCAGCCTCCCGAGTAGCTGGGACTACAGGTGCGCACCACCATGCCCTGCTAATTTTTGTATTTTTAGTAAAGACAGGGTTTCACCATGTTGGCCAAGTGGTCTCCATCTCTTGATCTTGTGATCTGCCCGCCTTGGCCTCCCAAAGTGCTGGGATTATAGGCATGAGCCACCGTGCCTAGACTTCCATGGGTTTTGAGACTCCAGTGGAGAGGAGTTAGAGGCTGATGGTGGCTTGATTAGTAGTTAGTGCCTAGGTTTTGAGTCAGAGTGCCCAGGCCTGCATTCCAGCTGCTCTTGGCTATTTGACCTTGCATATGATTTCAGCCTCTTGGCCTCAATTGTCTAATTTGAAAGTGAAAATTCTGTAACTCAATCCACTTCAGTTGTTAAAATATAATTGCATTCCTTGACAAGTTCGCACAAAATTAACATATGTGACTGTAGCAGTTGGTGATCAAGAAAGAGACAAAATGATCTTGAAAAGTGTGGGTCAACATGGCTAGGGGGAGACCTATGTTAATTCTAGCTAAATAATTATAAGCTTGCTTGGCTTAGAGTACACTGAAGTTTATACACAGAACTAAACTATATTAGCGGTGCAGTTAATTAGAAATCAAGCGGTGGGCCAGGCGTGGTGGCTCAAGCCTGTAATCCCGGCACTTTGGGAGGCTGAGACGGGTGGATCATGAGGTCGGTAGATCGAGACCATCCTGGTCAACATGGTGAAACCATGTCTCTACTAAAAATATGAAAAATTAGCTGGGCATGGTGGCGCCTGCCTGTAATCCCAGCTACTCAGGAGGCTGAGGCAGGAGAATTGCCTGAGCCCAGGAGGCGGAGGTTGCAGTGAGCCGAGATTGCGCCATTGCATTCCAGCCTGGGTAACAAGAGTGAAACTCCGTCTCAAAAAAAAAAAAAAAAGGAAAAAAAAAGAGAAATCAAGCGGCAACAGGAGGACTAAGGTAAAGACCATCTGAGAGCGCAGTAACACTGGGGAACACCTCGAAGTGTCTGCAGAGCAGGGAATCCTGCTGTGGTCCCACAAATGCCTTCTCAACATGGAGACTGCATGAGGGTCTTGCAAAGAACTCTGAGAAGGGAGTTGACCTCTGCTCACAAGATCCAGGAGGGTCTTTGCAGACGGGAGCTGGCAAGGAGGAGAAAAGCCTTGCAGGGCAGAGATCACGGAAGGCCTTAGGCTCTGTCTAAGTTCTCGGAATATGGAGTGATTTTAATTGCTCTATGTCCTTAGTGCTAGGGAGATAAAAGCCCCTGATGCATTGGGTGTGGTCAGACCCAGTGGCTCCTCATCGGCTATACTCCTGATGCCACAGCAACCCTATAGCAATCGGTGATAAACTCAGCGTACTAGTTTAGCATGTCTTAGAAGGATCTCAAATCCTGTTAAATGCTCAGAGCACTAGTTTAGCATGTCTTAGAAGCATCACAAGTGCTCTCTCCCACTATCTTACCTACCCCTTACCCTCCCTTCCATGTCTATAAGATCAATGAGATTATGCACATAATAAATGTGTTTGGAGCCCAGAGCTTGGGACCAACGCTGTAAATTCTACTCTTGTGTCTCTGTCTTTATTTCCTTTTCGCAATCCCTCGTCACCTCCGTGACTAAGGGCACCCACGTACAGGGTTGGGGCTGGTACCCAACAGAAAAGTGAGCCTAAATGGAATTTGGAGAGACGTGGGAGGGAGCAATCCTGGAAGTCCTTACAGGCAACTTGTTGTACTTAAAATGAAATCTGAATTCGTCCCTTGTCTGCAAGGCCTCCACATTATCTAGCCTTTGCCTACATCTCCAACCTCATCTCCTTTCCTCCTGTACTTATTCCTAGCCACACAGGCTTTTGGGCTTCAGATTCAGCCAAACTCTTTTGGTCCTCCAAACATTTGCACTGCATGAAAGGCTCTCCCCAGATCTTTCCCATCCTGGCTTCTACTTTGCTTCTCATTCAACTCAAAGATCATGGTCCTCAGAGAGGCCTTTCCTGACCACTGCACTCCAGCCTGGGTGACAGAGTAAGACTGAAAAAAAAAAAAAAAAAAAAAAAAAAAAGCTTCAGATGAATATTCTTCTTCTTTTTTTTTTAAAGCCTACAGCACCCAGTATTCCCAGGCCCGACCCTGCTTAGTCTCTGAGATGAGACAAGATCCGGCGCGTTCAGAGTGGTATGGCCGTAGACGAATATTCTTTTCTGTTCTAAAGAGTTCTACTATTCGTGTAGAAAATTTTAGCTTTACTGCAGAGAAATACAGCTGATACCTAGCAGTGGCCATTTAAGTAGAGTACTCAACTATCCATCCTTTTTTTTCTTCTTCCTTTTTTTAAAAAAATAAATTACCAAGCCACCAGAAGTGCTGAATCCACTATTTTCATGTCATATTTTCACATCACGCTATTTTCACGTCACTTATCGCTATCTGAAATTGTTATTAATCTGTTTCCTCGTTTATCGTCTGTTTCTGGGGATCCTGTGATTTTGGGTGGTACTTGGCTGTCACCCTAGCACCTAGAACGGGGTTCCCTGCACGCTAAAAGTACTGAAAAACATTGAGTGAATGAATGAATGTCAGGAAGATGAAATATGGAGGGAGGTGAGAAATCCATCAAAGGCTCACAGAATAAACTCAATTTTCGGACGAAAGTCGGAAGAGGCCCAGGCAAGTCAGCTGAGGGAGGGAGCGGGGCGGGGCGAGGGCGGGGGGAGGCTGAGTCAGGGCGAGGGCGGGGCGAGGGCGGGGCGGAGTCGGGCGGAAGCCGGGGCGGAGGCCCAGGAAGTGACGGCCCCTCCGCGCTCCCGGGGACTTCTGGAGTCCGCGAAGTCGGCAGCGCGGTTGTTGTGGCTGCCGCGCTCCCCGGCCTTAGGCGATGGAGAACGGAGCGGTGTACAGCCCCACTACGGAGGAGGACCCGGGCCCCGCCGGAGGACCCCGGAGCGAACTCGCCTCCTACTTCTTCCTGGGCCGACTCCCCTGGCTCCGGCGCGTTCTCAAGGGCTTGCAGCTGGTGAGTCCTCGGCCACTGGGGGTGAGGCGAGCCCGGGCCTGGGAGGCCGCGGAGCTGCTTCTCTTCGGCTTACTTGTTCAGTACGAGGCTGTTTCTACACCTCTAGTTCCTCCTCTCTCCGCCTGGGGCGGCCCCTCGGCCCTACGGCTCCCCACATCTGGGGCCCCCCAGCCTGTTAAGCGGGTCCAGGAAATGCGTCGGAGACCCAGAGCAGCCACTTGAACCTCTTCCACTCATCCTCTGTAGCGGCTTTCCTCCCTTCTCCCGGCTGTACTCTGCGTTATCGTCCGCAGTGCCTGTAATTAGACTGTGGAGCGCTTTCTGTTTATCTTTTCTGGCTTTTGCGGTTTTCCTGTTGAGAACCTTTGAGGGCAGTTTAACCTGCCGAGCAAAGTCCTCGATACCAAGCATGGCATTGAGGGGTGTGTGTGTGTGTGTGTGTGTGTGTCTAATATTGTCTTCTAAAAGTTTGATATCGACTGGAAAAGACTTATTTCAGAATTGAGTAATATGGGTTCGAAGTGGAAAGTCAAAGGGCAGCTTTTTGTGAGTATGTGCGGATAGCAGAACTAGGACATGGTATGCAGCTTTCCATTTCATTGGGTTTCTTTTAAGCAGTTAAAGTACCATAAATCTATTAGTGAGAAAATCACAGCATCTTTTGAGATTTAAATTATAATTCGCTTTACAGTGCTGTTGCTCCTGTGTCCTGTTTCAGCCACAGATGAGGAGGAACATTTTCTGCAGTAGAACCAGTGTAGGAAAAATCGAAATGATTAGAATGTTTATGGGCTTTGTTTTGTCTTACTTTACTTTGTTTTTTTAACCATTCTAAGTAAAAGGTAGCTCGTCGGCTTCCTTGGAAAGAACTTAAATTCTTACCACTCAAATGGCTAGAAGTTAAATTCTTAGAACTCAGATGACCTACTTTTATTGAATAGAACAGAAGTCGGAAAATCGGCCTGCTGTTGAGTGATCAAAATGATCATATCTGATGATGACTGGGAAATCGTTTGAAAGCAAGTGGTAATGTAGTCTATGGAACCTAGCAGGATCGGGCCTTATCTTTCTCTCCATTCTCCCTTTAGGTGGGTCCACACCGGCCACTTGGGAGGCATCAGGGGCTCCTTCCTACCACTCACTGTTCCTTTGCATAACCTGTTCCTTCTACCGTCTTCCTTCTGCTCTTCCTCTTGTCAGCTGTCACGTGATTTTTAGATATCAGCTGTATTTCTCTTCAATAAAGCTAAAATTTTCTACATGAATAGTAGAACTCTTTGGAACAGAAAAGAACATTTATCTTTTTTTTTTTTTTGAGTTTTGCTCTGTCACCATGCTGGAGTGCAGTGGTGCGATCTAGGCTCATTGCAACCGCCGCCTCCCAGATTTAAGCAATTCTTCTGCCTCCGCCTCCCAAGTAGTTGGTACTACAGGCAGGTACCTCTGTGCCTGGCTAATTTTGTGTGTCTGTGTGCGTTTTTTTTTTTTTTTTTTTTTTTTTTTAAGATGGAGTCTTACACTGTTGCCAGGGCTGGAGTACAATAGCGCGGTCTTGGCTCACTGCAACCTCCACCTTCAGGGTTCACGCGGTTCTCCTGCCTTAGCCTCCTAAGTAGCTGGGCAGCGCACACCACCACACCCGGCTAATTTTTTGTATTTTTAGTAGAGATGGAGTTTCACTATGTTGGCCATGGTCTTGAACTCCTGACCTATTGATTTGCCCTCCTCATCCTCCCAAAGTGCTGGGATTACAGGCGTGAGCCACTGCTCCCCGCCTTTTTTGTATTTTTTATAGAGACAGGGTTTCACCATGTTGACCAGGCTGATTCGTCCCCGGACCTCCCAAAGCGCTGGGATTACAGGTATAAGCCACTGTGCACGGCCCATCGGAAGCATTCTTGCTGCTTAAAAAAATCGTGTGTATCGGTTGGCTGCCCATAAAATCTCCTGTTTTCAGTTGCGTTTGTTTTTTCTTTCTTTTTTTTTTTTTGAGACGGAGTTTCGCTCTTGTTACCCAGGCTGGAGGGCAATGGCGGGATCTTGGCTCACCACAACCTCCGCCTCCTGGGTTCAGGCAATTCTCCTGCTTCAGCCTCCTGAGTAGCTGGGATTACAGGCACGCGCCACCATGCCCAGCTGATTTTTTGTATTTTTAGTAGAGACGGGGTTTCACCATGTTGACCAGGATGGTCTCGATCTCTTGACTTCGTGATCCACCCACCTCGGCCTCCCAAAATGCTGGGATTACAGGCTTGAGCCACCGCGCCCGGCCCGGTCTGTTTTTTCTTTCTAATAAAAAGTGGCAAAGCTAAAGTAAAATTTCTGAGTACCTTACAATAGTGTAGTAAACTGTAGTTTTATGTCTTTGCAATAGAACATAACCAGTTTCCTTCCTTATTGCTGTTATAGAAGAAAACATGGAACACAACAGAAATTATTGTGGTAAATGTTATATTTGGAAACAGAGAAGATGAATTTGCCTTAAAAGATCGTTAGACTAGGCCGGGAACAGTGGCTCACGCTTATAATCCCAGCACTTTCAGAGGCTGAGGCGGGCGTATCACCTGAATCAGGAGTTCAAAACCAGCCTGGCTAACATGGAAACCCTGTCTCTAAAAATACAAAAATTAGCCTGGCATGGTGGCGCACCCCTGTAATCCCAGCTACACAGGAGGCTGAGGCAGGAGAATCGCTCCAACTCAGCAGGCAGAGGTTACAGTGAGCAAAGATTGCGTTACTGCACTCTAGCCTGTGTGACAGAGTGAGACTCCGTCTCAAAAAAAAAAAAAAAAAAAAAAGTCATTCATAAGAAATGGAGAAAAGATAAAAACAAATATCTCTTTATGAAATCCATTTATTTGTTTATGCGGAAATGTTTATGTTACAAGAATGCCTTCTTTTTTTTCTTTTCTTTTTTTTTTTTTTTTTTTACATTTTCTCTAATTTTATTTAAAGCCATCATTATATATTAACAGTGCAAAGGTAATTCTGTCTTCTCTGGTCGCATGGCACGACCTACTCTAGCCTTTACACCAGTGCCCGGAAAACCTCCGTCTTCTCCCAGTGCAGCTGGTGTAACTGCTTGGCCAGGCAGTGGAAAGGGGCTTCAGAGTTTTCCATCTGCTTCACGGATGTTTCAAAACATTCCAGGTCCTGGCCCAGCGCCCACGCCTGGGCCTCAGTGGAGTCCACTGCTCGTCTGCCGGCCAGGTCTGTCTTGTTCCCAACTAAAACACCTGGGAGACAGATGCCTGGAGCCTGTGACTGAGCCTTCTCCAGCCACTTGTTGCAGTTGTTGAAGGACTGTTCACTGGTCACGTTATAGACGAGACATAAGATGTTGGGACTCTCCCACAATTTATCCAACATTTCCGAAAACAGCTCCTGGCCAGCAGAGTCAAAAATGAAGAGTTCCACACTGTCTCCCCTGTCAGGAACTGGCACTGTCTTCACCACCAAATCCATTCCTGCTGTCAGCTTATAGCTCTTCTGGAAATGGGCTCCATCACTGTGGAAGATCTATGCCAGGGCAGTCTTGCCCACTGCTAGGTCTCCTGCCAGGATGTGTTTGGCTGCCAGCTTCACCATGGTAACCAACACTCCCGAGAGCCATACCCAGAGGACAAGAGGGTCGCGGGTGGGTGGGCTTAGGGCCCTGGGCCGGCCTGCCCCGCCTCCCCTCCTTGCTCAAGAATGCATTCTTTAATATGGAGATTTAAAAGTATTTTTTCATTATTGCTTTTCACTTTGATGGTTGTCTTTTTGTTCCTGCTTTGTCTGTTTTGATAATGTCTTATCTCTTCACAGGAACAGTGTATTATGGGAATTGTCAAGAAAGTCCCAAGAGAGTTACATAAGAAGTCAGTAAAAGTTGTCTTCCAGACTGGGGCTATACAGCGTCTTTGCCTTAACTTAAACTCTGATAGATTGGTTGTTTTACTTTAGATGGTTAATTTTTCAAAAACCTGAACATAATTGCTGAGCTCCAGTAAGGAAACAACTGTAAGGGAGAAACTCATAATCATAAGGGGAGGTGTTTTAACAAGGGACCTGCAAACCCTTGGAAATTATGTTCAAAATATTGTACACTTGGCCGGGCGCGGTGGCTCAAGCCTGTAATCCCAGCACTTTGGGAGGCCGAGGCGGGTGGATCACAAGGTCGAGAGATCGAGACCAACCTGGTCAACATGGTGAAACCCCGTCTCTACTAAAAATACAAAAAATTAGCTGGGCATGGTGGCGCGTGCCTATAATCCCAGCTACTCAGGAGGCTGAGGCAGGAGAATTGCCTGAACCCAGGAGGCGGAGGTTGCGGTGAGCCGAGATCGTGCCATTGCACTCCAGCCTGGGTAACAAGAGCGAAACTCCGTCTCAAAAAAAAAAAAAAAAAAAAAAAAAAATTGTACGCTTTTGTGTTTGAGTATATTATTCTGGATCCATAAATCTTAACAGAGTCTCAAAGATCCTACAAGACAAAGGAAGCCTGCTCTAAAACTTAGAAACTAGACACTGTGTATATACTTAGGAAATTCTTAAATTTTAGAGTCTTAGGAGGTTGAATTGGATTGCCTCTGAGGTTCTTAAGATTTTTTTTTTCAAACCTCTGAGGCTCCATGGGGTTTGCTGTTACAGAACTGAACATTGAAGGGAAAAAGAGTGGAGCCTGTACACACATAGAGGAGATTAGAGATAAAAAAAAATAGCTTTTCTGTCCCTTGAAGTTACATAGCTGTGTCTGCCATTTCAGATATGACCTGAATTTTGTCAAAAACCTAAGTGACCCCCAGCTACAGTTCAGCCACCCTTCCAGAGCTTAAGAAGAAATACTCAGTTGAGAATTCAGTACAAGGAGTTCCCGGAGTCCTAACTTTACGCAGTGTTTCAGTTTATCCTATCCTTAGATTTGTCCATACGTTCATGTTTTATTTTGTGAGTTCTTTTGAGGGAGTTTTTGTTTTAAAGGGAGAATTGATGTTTGGTAGCCTAATTGCTTGCTGGTT